GCTTTCCTAGCATTTGCGTCCTCGAACATCACCCGGATTTCTTTTTTGGCGCATTCCTTGCGTGTACTCAAGTTCAAGGTATTACTGGTGCGTACCGTATAAAGGATGCGAATTTTTTACTCGTTTTCATCGCCCGAAAAAGTTAATTAGTGTTAGCAATCCTGAACGCTCGCATCGTCTGTCAAATTATATTTCTACGTTGCTATATCGTTGCTAAGATTACATCATCTTTTATATTCGTAGAAACGGTGTGTGGGGAGATTTGTACTGTTGGCAAAGCTGTGTATTAAAGTCGTGATCGTGCAAGACGGCGTACTGGATCTTTTTTTTCTTTTTTTTTTTTAATGCACTACCCTGCAAGCGTATCCTGAAAAAAAAGAGTAATAAACCTTGAGGTCATAGAAGACGGTCTGTCTATTTTCTGTTACGCAAGTGAGTGGCAGCGCGTCCCCTTCTTTTTGGAGGCACCGCTGAAACAGCTGACGGCAACGGAGAGGCGGTCGCCGTGCTGCCGACCCGCTGCGCTTGTTGCAGTGGTAGCAGGAGTGTACGCGTGGCGCAGAGCGATCGTTCCGGTCGCTCTGGTCAAAACGGACGCGGTCGCGGATAACGGGTTCGTTGCAGATGTCTGAACCAGCCTTTACAAAGCTATTGTAGGCGCATAGCAGATCTTCGTGAGCGTACGCCGTAGCCGAAACCTCGGGCTGCTCCGGTGATGACCCCGCTACCCCGCGCCGGGCACGAAACCGTCCGCCATGTTTGTAAGCGTACCTGGGTTGCTTCCTATTGGCTAGGACCAAGAGCTGAAGCTCGTTTCTTATTGGCTGTTGATTCGCGTGGTTGCATGCGGTTGCATGTGTGTGTACACGTCGCGCACAGTTGTCGTTGAAGTCGCAGCGGTTGCATTCGTTCGTAAGCATAGTGGTCGCTCCGAACGCAACTGTGTGAACGGGCCTTTAGACAGACGAACGAGAAAACACGCTGGCACTCTGGCGCGCCTCCTATCAGGTGACACTGGAACTCTTGCGATGTGAGTATATATGCTATAAACTGAGAGGTTTGCAATATTTTAGAGACTATATCAACGTATCATCTACGAGAAATCGTCACTTATAACGTAGCACCGATTATTTCGAGTCCACGGTGAAAGACTGATGCGTAAAAAAAATTAAAAAATATACGCAAATCGTTCCAGGGCTACCCGGTAGATGGAGCCCCCAATCTGTCCTCTCGGACTAAGACGTACCGGGTTAAGTCCAAGAAATGGACACTTTATGTAGTGTGTATGGGGAGCAGGAGGAAACGGCTGAGCACTTAATACTTTTCTGTAAAGGGCTTCACCCAACAGTTAACAGTGACCGGGCGGATTTAATCAAAGCATTGGGTTTTAAAGACAGTGAAGGAAAAATAGACTTTACACGGGTAGAAATAACCAAGCGGAGGTTATCAGACTGGTGGCTAAAATCGAGGCAGGGGTGAGATTTAATCTTGGAATTCAAAACATATAATTAGATTTATAATATTGGCTAGGTGGCGCAAGCCACCGCCCGATTCACAGGGTTTAGCCAGATCCATCCATCCATCCAACCTCGTCTTACTTTCGTCTTAAAACCCTTGGTGTGTCGAAGCGTGAACCTTACCAAGGGGCTTCCCTCTTGTCGTAATTCGTCACGCGTGGTCACGGTACACTCGGCCACACCCAAACGAATCCTGTGAACCAATCTCATCCATAGACTTTTCCTGTGCTTATCACCGAAGCACCGAATCACTGGGATGGGGAAGCATGGGAGGCGTCTCATATTTTCGTCAAAGAGCGCTACCGCGCGCACTCAGAACGCCTTCCACAGCCAAGGAGACAAAGATGGCAGCCAATGAATGGCGACTAGTGGAATGGTCTATAGACCTATACACGCTTTTTATAAACATCTCCGCGTTCATCCATACCACGAGGGGGGGGGGGGGGGGGGGCACTGCGCGTGCACAGGAACTAGCATCAAGTGATGCGCATGCGCCGCCTCGATAGTAGCGTCACCGTAGCTGCGTGGTGTCAGAGCCGCCATGTTGGTGTATATACACCTTTCCAAGAAACACTCGACCCCAGGGGCAGCACACCGTTTTCGAGCCCAGTTCCTGGGTTGGAGGCTAGACTCTCACCGGCGTCCCTGCTAACCCTAACCCAGTGGACTGTGCTTTCGATAAACGCAACCTACGTAGGCGCAGATTAAAACACTGATGGCGGCTAAATTCTCCACTTTTCCCGCTGTATTTAGTGTTTTCCCGAGGTCATTAAGAAAGCATTGTATCTCATTTGAAAAAAAAAAAGAAACAAAAAAAAACAATAAAAATCCTATAAACTACTTTTGCTGGGTACGTGCGCGACAGAACGAATGCGACTGGAATGTATAGTTCTAGTTGTTGTTTTTTTTTCTTTTTTGCGATAAGTTTTGACGGCGCCGCGCGAATCAAACGCGTGTCAAACGACAAAACGCTTAGCAGTCGTAAATAATTTACAACAGAAGATAGCCGAAAGGCACGCATTTTTCAGGCTCACAAATAATGTGTTTACCGATGGACAGAACACGGACATACGATTAAGCAAGTGTTAACATTCGAACGATATATTGTACGTACCACACGATGTAGCGTTGTCTGTAAAGAAATTATTTGAGAAATATCTGAAATAAGTTAACGAAGTCAGAGTCGACGACAGTCACATCTTGACGATCGGACGAAACCCAAGATGACTTCGTTTTGGGGCACGTTTTGGGTAGAGCTTCCTTTTTTTCACAACAGCACCAAGGCAAAGGAACGAACGCAACTGGCCCGCTTCCCACCCCAACCCGGACAACTATTTTTGGAGACGACTGAGGATTCTACGCGAATTATCTCATGGAGGGGGGAGAACAATGTTCGCAAAATCGCATCGAGGGCCGTTCGACGTCCTTCCCCTCCTTTGTTTCCCCTGAATGTCAGGCAGAAAAGCTTGAATGGCAGGCACTTACCAGCTTTATTTCTCACAATGGAAAATTACACAAAAAGAGTAGGCAGAACGCATAAAAAAAAAATGAAGTGGAAACTTTTAAGAGGGGCGAGAAAACGTCGAATGCAAAACCGCAAAAACGTAGGTAGAGAACCGCGCTGAGAGGTTCTTCACAGTCCAAGAGAGTGGCAGAAAATGTCTAGCTGATAGAGGGCGCGAGAGTCGCACGAGCCGCATCAGCATCTGCCAGATGGTGGCGGCCTAGGAGCGTTTCTTGGAAAGGTGCATACAAGCACATTTGCCGAACGTCACCTTTCATGCAATAACGTCATCAGGTGGAGAGGGTACTTTTTAGGCCTCTTGACCATCTGTTCTCTCCTCCTGGGGATCCAAAGCCAAGAGTCCTACACAAATCCCCGATGGGCAGCTCGTAGAACGAAAGCTTAGGGCTGTTAACTCAAGGCCGTTTACTCAAATTCAGTGTTTGTGAACATCCTTGATATATTCACGTGCGAAACGAGGTCCACGGCTAGCGCCAACGAGGTTCACTCGCGAAGTTACTGAGAAGCTGGAATCTGTGCGGTTCGCCGTTCTTTCCCTCGAGCAGGTCATGTTTTATTCCAGTATCGACGAACGTCGTGCGAAGTTGATCGACGCTACAACCACTAGCAGCTAAAGAAGCGCAGAGCGTGACAAGCACGAATCACCTTACTATCGCGCCGCAGCCTCTAAGACTGCGGATCCAGCCGATAAGGACGCCGAATCGCGAAGAGAGAAGCGGGGTCATAATAGGTGACCAGTGTTGGCGGTAACGCGTTACAAGTAACGGCGTTACCGGTAACGCGTTACTTTTTTTGGTAACGTAGTAACGTACTCGTTACTTTTCCAAAGAAGTAACGGGTAACGTACTTACGTTACTTACTTTGAGTACGTGTAACGAAATTACGTTACGTTACTTTACTTCCTAGAACTAGTAAAAAAAAATTGTGTTTTTAAGTGCTTAGTCTTAAATTCCTTAGTCAAAAGATGCCGCTGTCCTCCACTTTTCTTTGACGTCGGTGCTCGTCATATTTGACGTCACACGCCACCTGCCACTGGTTTTCTCCCGCGGCTCGTTGACCTCGCTACCGCCGTTACTTGTAACGCGTGTCATTCTCTTTCCACGCTTCTCGCTGGGAAAGAGAATGACACCTTTGTGTCATTCCCTTTCCCGTTTTTCACGTTATAAATCAGCTTCATATATACTTCCGCGTTTTTTCTTGTAACTATTGGGGTGAAACCCTAAAAAAGAGAGGGTAATTAAGTGTCCCCATAGACATATTTTAGCTATGGCGTTTACGCACATACCAAACGTCGAAACAGCAAATGTTTTAGTTCTTGAATAAAAAGTAACGCTACAGTAACGTGCGTTACTTTTTATCAGTAACGGTAACGGTAACGCGTTCCTTTTATTTTGAGGTAACGTAGGTCGGTAACGCGTTACATTTATTAGCAAGTAACGAGTAACGTATTTAGTTACTTTTTTTCGGTAACGCATTCAACACTGAATAGGTCTCGTTTCACGCTTGAGTTTGAAGACGACGCTTACCAAAGTCATGTTTGAGTTAAGAGTGATACATTTTTTTTTTTTTTGGCCTGTCCGCAATCACTGCGGTACGAATGTGCTGAACATTCTGTCATATCTGTGCGAATAGCGCACTGTTTACTTATGGGGACATTTTAGACCGTTCAGGCGGCATGGTTCATGCTGTAGACGCTTTGCACACGCGCCAAATTGGAGCCACCATTGCTGACCTTCTCTTATCTTACCCAAATGCCGAGCCACTGAAGCGGGCGTTGACGAGCCTCCACATGGGCCAATGCTGGGCAGAAGGACACAGTAAAATCTATATTTGCAATAACCTGCCCTGCTGTGGTAATGATAGAGCGAAGTGATCAAAATAAGAGAAAACAAAAACTGAAGGCCGGTTATGGGGTCGCCCATGCACAGCTGCTGCAAAGCGTCTATAGGAACTTCGAAATGGATGGCACTGTTGGTTCTGTCTTCTAGCCTCAATAAACTATGCATACTGTTTCAGAACGAAACTATGCATCTTTGATAAGAACTGCATCGTTTATATGTTCTTTCGCAGTTCTTGGGGAAGTGGTGGTTCGTGCAAGGCACCGCCAAAGTGTTTCATCGCAAGGAAGGCTGTTCCCACTTCGTCGTCTCCAGGAAGGACGGCGACACGTACAACGTCGTCGCACAGTACACTGTAGGAGAGAACAGGTCAGTTTCTCGTACTTTTTCCAAGTGAATCACTCACATGTCATGCCTGGTTGGACCTTTTGTGCTTGCATCTAAACTACACGATAGTGATCCTTTCCACACCCACTGCCTTAAGGGCTGTTCATACAGGTCACGATATGTACCGCGCACACAGAAGAAAATTCGTGTTCGATCTTCAAAACTGCGCGCACGTTTTTAGCGAGGACATCAACTACTCTACAGGCAAACGCTCGATCTGTACACCGACAAAAATTGTCTCAAATCGGAGCGGAAGCGGAGAGAAACCTACACATTTCTGTCCGGCAAAAGTCATGCCTGAAGCAAGTCTGAGGGAACGGTATTCTCTGTTTTCGTGTGTAGACATGGACAACATTGGCGAACCTTCGGCTTTATCTTACAATGCGAACGCAGCCCCCATGGCTAGGTTTCAGGCCTTTCTGTAAATTGATCAATTTTGTAGTTTTATCGCCTCAGGCATCACAGCAAGCAGTCGTTGCGACCGCATGTAGAAAAGTGTCTCTGTGTTCTTTTCTTTTCTTTTTTTTTTTTTTGTCCGTTTTGTGAAAGGGCAGCATGTGTTTCACTGAGTGTCAGTAGTTAATTGGCGACGGCAGAGATGTAAATAAAACGTAACACGCGTGGTTCTACCTGGTTTGAGGAACACCCTAAAGTTTTAAACGGTCCCTCCCCTACGAAGTCGACCCTCGGCTATCCATTAATCTCACGCGCAACATGGAAGCACTACTGCACAAACTTCATCCCAACGTCGCTTCTACCGTTGTTAGTTTCTTTTTTTTTTTTCATAGCCTGTCCGTCATGCGGATTCTCCAGAATGTGCATGTGGACACTCCGTCGAACTTCGAGAAAGTGATCTGAAAAGTGCCCTAATGACTTCAGCTTACGGCTCATGGCAATTGACCGCCCTTTGTCACTAAAAAGGCTGCTAGGACCTTGGCCAACTCTTGTTCTAGAAAAGAGGGGCGCAGTTTTTCTTGCGTCATTTGGTCCTGGAAGGCGGAATAGCGTACGGTAATAGACACTTCTCAAAAGTCCACCACAACACCTGTCCGCCATTGCTTGCTCACGTACTCTGAGCCATGGGCGTACTAACCGGGGGGGGCAACACTTGCCCTCCCCCCCCCCCCCAAGTTCTCAGAGGGGGGGGCAAGGCATGTGTGTTGCCTCCCATGAAACAGCCGCCACTGGGCAGGGCAAACACTGGCCGACGGCGACCAAGGGATACCAAGGGCACCGCTCCCAGGACCCGGGGCGGGGTAGGGGGAGGGGAGGTTCTGGTTTGCCCCCCCCCCCCCCCCCCCCCGACTCAAAAACAAATTGGTACGCGACTGCTCTACGCATGTACTCCTGCGTCAGCGTACGGCGAGGACTCGGATCCAATCACGCGCTTCATGAGCAAGCAATGGTGACCGCCAATGTTGCTTGATGGAGTTTGAAAAAGGTTCTATTGAGAGTTCATAGTTTCGCGCTAAGAACAAACACTGCACATAAGTAGAAGCATCATCCTATGATATATGGGCATTGGGTATACTCTTCAAACTGGTAAATGATATATTACTGGTTACTTTGCTTGTACAAGATCGGGATAAGAAGTTTTTTTTGTTTTTTTTTTTTTAGCCGTATGTTCGTAAGATCTAAAGTGTATTGTGACTAGGGCTGAGAGATTGATCGAATAACGTACCGAGAAATTGATTAAGGCATTAATCGAGATGAAATGTTTTAGCCCGTATTCGTAAAATTTTTAAGAACCATGAGGAAGCAAAAAATAAACGCTTTCACTACGCAAACGTGCAAGAGTACACCTGTAAAAAGGGCGCGCTTTAGGCCAAAATTTAGAATAAAGTAAACAGTAGGGGCGAGATTTGTAACTCCAGACAAGGGGGTGTGGAAGGTTACATTTGCCCGGCCACTTCAACGCCGTTCGAGTGTCCATTTAGCGCAGCAATCAAAGGAGGTCGCTCTTGACAGAGAATACCAACGAACAGTTTTGCCACGAATATGCATCAAAATAAACAAGACCGATTAATTGATTAATTATTCGACTAAAAGGTGGCGATTAATCGGATTAAAACTTTTAATCGACGCCAGGCCTAATTGTGACCCGTCTTGCGTATGTTGCACAGTACTCAATGTACTCGCTTTTTACAGTATCAGGTGTTATATGTAAATAGCGTCACACATTATTGCACCCTGAGTTAAATGGAGTAGTTTTATACCTTAGAGGGGGAGGAAGGGTTCTGTGCAAGGTTCTTAGCTTTGGTAACTGTAAAGTCTCAAATTAATTAACACTTTTTTTTCACGTGCAAATGAGTAGCCTGCACCGCTAAAACGGCAGCCAGTATATCCTTTTTTTTTTCTGAGTTATGAAAGAGAGACGTAAATAAATACTGGTCTGAAAAATGCTACCGAACCACTACTATAACCTCTACGCCTGCTCCAACACACACAATAGAGAGTTTTAGGGAACCGTTTTTGCCCATCCGATACGGTGCAAAATGGCCCTACGATACGCACTGCGCATGCGCTATCACAGAAGACTCGCATGTGCGCAGTTCGTGCTGGAGGGTCCATCGTACCTTATCGGATGTGCAAATACGGTTCCCTAAAACTCTCTAAAGTAACTCTGCGCGATACGGTTAGGCTCAACACGACAACGGCGCTTTTTCGGATTTTTGTTCAGGCAGGAAACAAGAACTTTCCTTTTTTTATACTTTTTATGTCAATCTGTTGATTGTAAAACAACAACACAAAGCGGCGATCGTGTCTTCGTGTTAACTGTGTCGCTCTCTGTACATGTGTCTGCACTGGTGGCATGAAAGCCTATGCGGAGCGCAAATTCGTCTTCTTCCTGCGCAGGGGTTCCGGTATAACGTCAGAACACCGAGCTTTAATTAGCTCCGATTGGAAGGATAGAGGGTAGACCTCGAGGCAGCTACAGCATTGAGGTCTGCCCACTATTTGTCCATCAGAGCCAATCAAAACTCGACGTTCTGACGTCACTGCAACCCCTGTGCAAGAAGAAGACGATCTTGCGCTCTGTACATAGCAAGGGCTGGTTTACGCGTCTCGCTTCGAAAGTTACCGAGTGCGTTGCAATGGCTCAGAACTGCTTACCACAACAGAACACGCTGTCTCCATCTATCGAGTAACCCTGGGACACTTCCGATCTGCGTATATTTTCTCATTTCTTAAAACAAGAGGTAGAAACGCACTCGGTAACACTCAAGCGCCAATACCTTTGAAGCAGGTTGTCGGCCACGACCGTCGACTCTGACCCGAGCTGCGGTGAACGACGGCGAAAGCTGGGGAAGCAAGGTCGAAGCCCGTATTGCACAAGGAACCACAGAACCGCCGACTTCATTTCGTGTGCCATATTTTTCAATCGTGCTTCCCACTGCATATGCGCCGAGAAAGTGAGGGAGAGGAGGGGACGAAAGCGCGCATAGGACGTCAGAACACCGAGCTCCGATTGGAACGATTAGCGGCAAGACCGAAAGCTATAGAAGCCTTTGTCTCCACTGCACTCCGGAACGCGTTAGAACGTTGAACGTCGGCGTACGGCGTTTGGCCTCCGCGTTCGAACGCGTTCTACGAGTGCAGTGAAAACCTTTGTCTCCGCTGCACTGGTGGAACGCTTTAAGACGCGGAACGCGGGCGTCTGGCGTTTGGCTCTCGCGTTCAAACGCATTCGACGGGTGCAGTGGAGACAAAGGCAGCTAGTTTTACGACTACCCACTAATCATTCAAATCGGAGCTCGGCGTTCCGACACCCCCGGCGCGCTCTCGTCTTCATCCCACTCACTTTCTCGGCGCATTGGTCTCGCTACGCCACATAACGCTGTTGACAAGCTCGTAACAGCCTGAGACCACGACTACATACAAAGGCGCTGGAAGAAAATAGAAAAGTGTTTATGGCAATCGCGCAGCATGTAGTGTATTTAGTCCATCAATCATTCCTTTATTTTTTTTTTTTTTCAACCTTTTCTTTGTAGGTTCAGCGGTACAAAAGGAGAAACATTGTCGCCTGACGGTATGGCACAGGTCATTAAACGGCCAGAAAGTTATGGGAGATAGCGATTATTAAGACTGAACCTTCAGAAGACCTCCAGAAAGTGCTCGTTGTCTTGCTGGAGGCTTCTATTGTGATATAAAAGGCAGGAACTGCTGCTGGAGGCAGAGCCCATACTGTATTCTTAACTTGTCACCAACTATAGAGAAGCGTAGAAGGCCTTTCTACACTTTCTTAGGTTCGCCCATTCCTATAAAGTTATCCTTGCAGTTAGTTAGTCAATCGAATTGGTGCGAAAATCAACCAGATCTTCCTTAACTTCGTTAACTTAAGGCCAACTTAATTGCTTTCACTAATTGCGTTGCACGCCATTATCGTTAATTGCGTCTGTTTAATACTTTCATTTGTTTACCTCATTAAGCGTCTTCTGAGGACGCAATACATAACAGCTGTCAGTTCATTCCAAACCAGCAAGAACCTAGTTTTTTTTTTTTTTTTTGGCCTGTTTCCAAGATGCTTCCCTGTTTGTTGTTGTAGTTCTTTGTTGTTTTTTGTTTTTTTTTCGTTTACAGCTTATCTGGGATTATAGGATTCCCGATTTGTTGCGTAGTTGCTTTGTTAGGGCGCTTAAATTATTCATTCACGGAGTTGACGTTTTCCGCGGAAAAGTGAGTCAAAGATAAAATTACTTTAATATGCTCAAGTTACCGATTATTTAAAAACAACAGTGCTAGTGAATCAAAGAAAGGAAGCTCGAAATTATCCCCTTTGGGTACGGTGTTACGCTTCACCAATAAAAGTATGCGCCGAGCAACTGAGGGAGAAGAAGGAGACAAGAGCGCACGAGGACGTCAGAATGCCGACTTCTGGTTCGAATGATTAGCGCCAGTGGGTAGACCTAGTGTCACTAAATAAGCTACGCTTCAGAGTAACGGCACTTGGCCATATTGTGGCTTAAAATCATGGCTGCCAGTTATCTGAAGCTTTATCTGATATCGCAGGAAACGCTTTCCCGTCCTCCACGAATGTTTAATAAGAAGTTCGCGACAGAGAAAAGAAATATTACATGACCTTCCTAACGCCGAATCTAAAGCTGAGGAAGTCGCACCTTTGAATCATGACGATCGACACTTGCGTCTGCTCTGCACAAGCACCAAAACGGCGACGCCCACAACAATGTCGGGGAACGGAGTGCCGATACTCTAAGCGCAGCTCATTTAGTGGCTCTAGGTAGACCTAAAGCTGCCTTTGTTTACACTGCACACGTCGAACGCGTTCAAATGCGTAAGTCAAACACCGGACGCCGGCGTTCCGCGTTCTAATTCGGTCAACGAGTTCAGTGGAGATAAAGGCAGCTAGCTTTAGCTCTATCCACTAGTCATTCCAATCAGAGCTCGGCGTATTGAAGTCCCCGCTCGCTCTCGTCACCTCCTCCCCCTGGAGGAGCAAAGATATGCCCCCGAGTCCGATTTGCGAGGAAAAGTACACTCTTAGTTCGGCACATTTATGCCACTTATACTACATTTAATGTGCCTAAAAAATGTATAAATTTTCTGTAAAGAAATTATAAATGTTGAGAGAAATGTGAATAACAATTTATGACAAAGTAGGTTACACCGCATGTTTGGACGCGGCAGAACCGCGATATGAAAGAGAGAAGTGATCCTTGATCAAGGTTACCGAGCCTTTCTTTCTTTCTTTCTTTCTTTCTTTCTTTCTTTCGTTCTTTCTTTTTTCTTTTCTTCTTTCTTTCTCTCTTTTTTGCTTTCTTTCGTTCTTTCTTTCTTTCTTTCTTTCCATCTTTCTTTCTTTCCCTAATTATTTATTTTATACCTACATCGTCCGGTGGGCATTGCACTGGTGTGTGTGTGTGTGTGTGTGTGTGTTTCGGGGGTGGGGGAGCAGGGTTTATAAAACGATACACAAAAGAGCAACATCATAGAAAGCATAGATAAACAGGAATACAAAACGATATAAAACATAAACGGCAACTTGACAACAATAACATTGCAGTACAAAACGAGTAAAGAGAGGGCAGCTCTACCGAAAAGTCGGGTAGCATGTTCCAGTCATGAACAGTTCAGGAAAAAAGAAGTATTTGAACGCATCAGTTCACTTTAAAAAAAAAAAAATCCCGAATGATTTGGCTATCGTTTACTCGGCGAGAAATGTAGTGGAGTGCTCGAATATATTGTTTTTATTGATTTGTTTTTAATAGCATGAAACGTGTGAAGTGTCAACCCTGCGCGGAAATAAGGAGGGAAAAAAAATAAACGCCTTTAATGGGTGTTCACAGAACTTTCTCGAGAGCGTCTAATTTCTGTCCCATCTGCAGCCAGAAGACCCGACGTATCAACCTCGATTTCGAAGACGAATCCGAACATCCAGCCAAATTTGCTGTCTACTTGGACGGTCAGTGTCTTTCTTGTGTCTCCGTGCGTACTTTAAAGTAAAATTGATTTGTTGCGTGTCTTGTCTCCTTTGTTTCCATGTTAGCTTTTGCTATGCATACCTGAAGTATTAGCGAACGACGTGGGACTAGATCTATTTTCCGAAACTTTCTCAAAAGCTTTGACATTTGCTGAAAGTAGGTCTTTCTCCTCGGCAATATTATAATAGTCTAATATAAGCGACATTCTGGTGTCTATCTTACGGGAAACATTCGATTTGAATAGGTAGCGCAGGATTAAATAAGGGCAAATTTGTTTGTTTGTTTTTATTACATGTCACGTTGTAGTAGATTCTTGATACAACAGAAGGTCTCGCGACAGGAGTAACCCTTTTGTGAAAGAGAGAACTTGGACCACCTTGACTTATGTCCAGGGTGGGTATATAGACCCCTTTACTGTTTACAAACTCAAGCCGTCTCTATCTCCAGAAATCACGAAGTTTGGGATCTAGCGAGGTCTCTCAGCTGCGCTATAAGGCAGAAAAGAGTGGATCGGTCCTCTTAATATTAACAAATTTCCAACAAATCTCTCGCTATTCGGCCCTTTAACTGATCACCTGGAGAACTGGTCGTAACATGTTTCATAGATGTTGCAAGAAGCGGTGCTATGGTGGGGTTCGTTTGTCCTCACATTCAAGCTGAAGTTCGCGGGGACGTCAATTGCAACAGCGCCTCCTTCCGGGGCTTTCAATGAAAGGATCTATACGTGACTCTCACGTGACGTCATCGAACTGATTGAGCGTCAGCGTGTTTTCCACTTTGGGCGGGTCGGGGGTCAACTAACAATGCCTTCATGCGGAGGCTTTTTTCCTACGTGCCATTGGCTCTGCTCCCTTACCCGTTTATACAATGTTCGAAGCAGAAAAAAAAGCAACCTATAAAATCCTTTTTAAAATCCCCGCGTCTGCCCTTCAGGGACGCAGGTCGTCTGGGCGACGGTGCTAGGAACAGATTACGACCACTGGGCCGTCATTTACATCCGTGAAGGAGGATTCGGTAAGCAACCAACCAAACTCCCTTTCCCAACTTGCGTTTTCCGTCTCTCGCACCATGTATCACGGTGGTTACAGGCGTGAGCTCCTTTTTGTTTGACGAGCTCCCGTCTACTATACTTTTTTTTCCACCTTACAATGGACCGCAGGAGACTTATACTGGTAACCCAAGCCAATCCAAAGCCGTCTGAGGGTCACGTGCAGCCTCTATGGCTCCGAGGCAAGGGCTTACGGATCACTGGGTGGCGGGTTCGAATGCCGGTCCAGGTTTCCGGATCTGACAAAGCCCGATTGCGGAGTAGTCGCCGTTTCACCGAATCAGTTTTGTTTTTGGCATTATGCGAGTGTTACATGACCTTCGGGAGGTGCGCAACGACACGCGCGAGTCAGGTAGTCCCATGAGACGTTCACGGTGCTCAATTGGCTGGGATCACCCGTACAGTTCGCTGCCGTCCATCGTAAGGTGAAACGGAGTACAGAAGCGGCCAGTCCGCGACGGCATAACCAGAAAATAACGACCCTTTTTACGATCGCCGTCGTCTGCGTGGCTTGCCGACTAGACCAGTGGCTTAGGAGGGTCAGACTAGACTCATTTCCCCCCTAAGCTGAGAGTATACGGTGGGAGGCTAGAGTCACTCGCCGGACCAATCGACCGCCTCCCTTTCATAAGCGGACCCCAACTCTGCGCGAGGATGTGGACGAAAGACTGATCGCGTGGCACAAGGTACGACTGGTTGCATAAGCACTTCCACCGCACTGTCAACTTACGGGTGAAACTACGCGTAGAGTCCAGTGGCTTAGGGCGGTCAGGTCGACGGGGGCTTTGATCTTTATACAGAGACATTCACCGTGGCCTCGCGGCGACCCAGACTGGACGCTGCTTTCGACAGCGCCGCGCGAATGGCACTCCAGGAAAGTCAGGTGACGACGGACCTCAGCGACATGTCTGGAAAGAGTTGCCCGGACGACATATGACCGAGAGCAGCGGTCCTTCCGTGTCGGTCTATGTGGACGAGAGAAAACGACGATAAATAAAGTTGAAGCGATTCAATGAACCCCTGCAACGAAATGGCTCACCTCTGAACGTCTCGAGTCGAAGAAGACTCGATGGCGCGTATTGCGTGTACACTATCTGCTGAAATGTGTCAACGGTCGTACAAAGACAAAGAGTTGAAAGACCACTATACTAACTTAGAGCAGGGGTGTCCAAACCCCGACCCGCGGGCTAGGTCCGACCGTCTAGGCTTTCTGGCGGATCAAGCCGCGGTATTTGCAGTGATGCCCGGACCGTGGCCCACCGCTGGTAATGCAGAAATAAGCGTGCGTAAAAAAATAAAGAAATAACGGCGCTGAAACGCACGCAAAAAGCGCCAACGGAGATGAGCGGTTTCATTAAGATACAAACAGTGAGGTTCCTTTTTTTATATTTTTTATATTTTTTTATGTTCTAGCGCATACAGCGTACAAGAAAATTATTTTAACTTAAATGTTCTGTCGTGCTTTGTTTTAAACAAATAAAATCCCAAAGGAGAGGGAAATGATTCAGGCGTTTTGACAATTGCCGATTGTGCCATATTTGGATCTTGCTCTATCCAAAGCTATTTATTGTAAAGACGCAAAACGTTTTAAGATAGGTCTATGCATAGCTTACGTACGTTTCTTCCAAATATATATTTGTTGTTATTAACAATGATTTTTAAAATCACGCCCAAACATGCCCCTTCCAACAATTATGTCATAAATTTCCTAATATTTTGAGGGTAGAGCTTCAGAGGTACCCCATGAAAATTAATACCAGAGAGAGTACGTATCCTTTCCATCCACATAATATAAAATAATGTCTGTATTGCTTTTTTTACATTACGAAATAAACTATCTCAATGTTGAAGATTTAAAATATTGTTCAAGTTCAGTATGTCAACAAAAAAAAATAAAAGGACATTTTATTTGTTTTTTTTTTTTCGTCTAAAATTTTTGGGACGTGCTTCTTTCAAAGCGCACACATTTTGCTAAAAGTAAAACATTTGTTTCGAAGTTTTTAGCGTTTAATTCTGCTTTAAAACAACACTTCTGACAGATTTTTGATAATGGTGTGAACCGAGTTTCAAAATATTTGAAGTCTTAATTATTAGAGATACATAATTTCCACTTTTTTAAACGTTGCACATTGATCTTTCACCAAAATAGTGCAAACGTTTTTTTTTTTTTTTTTTTTTTTTTTTTTAATTGATAGTCTGAAGGTTTTCTTGGGAATTGTCCAAAGATGCTTCTGCAGTGCGGACAATTATGCACAAACCATTTTGGTTATTTCTAGTTAAAATTACTACGCTTAAAATATTATTCATGCTTTTCTTCCTTTTTTTCCTATAATTGCAGTACAAATTATGGGGTACACAAAGATTTAAAGCTTTGCCGCTCACAGTGCACTTCACCTACTCCGTTCACCTCCATCATTTAGTGCTTATATCCTGGGGATATTACATATAACGCTCTCTTTTCCCCGGTGGCTACGAAGATGTTAACACATGAATCTCAAATCATACAAACTATGTTAGAGGTTTCCAACACCATTTCTATAGAGCGATTCGGCTGTATTAATGCTAGCAGATACTAAAAGAATACGAATAGCATATTACTTCTGGTGATGCACAATATATTTATTTACACTGGGCGAGTAGGCTATAAAGTGAGAGGTGCAATGCCAATACATGCACAATACATTGGGCAACAGTAAACTGAAAGCTTAGACCTAAGTAACAAGGCATTCAACTGTCCTTGTTCTTCACCCTTGTTTCAGTGAAGACCTCTGATGATTGCTTGAACCAAACATGGCACGGTCGCAAGGCCAGGCTTTCGGCGAATGTTTTGCCACCTTTTTTTTTATTACCTCTCTGAACTCTGTAAGGTCATCGGCGGGCATATCGATAATCCGCGTCTTGCCTTCCTTTGCTCTGAGAACCGACACCAAGTCCCTAGAAGTGAGGATTGCGGCATTCGGAGACTCTCGGATGTTGTGCAATGTTACATAATGCTTTAAAAGGCGGCCAAAACCGTCGCAGGCGTTCTATACATGCCCGCTTGCAGACAACAACCTGCGTGATAGCTTGTCGTTTTCTCACATTTCATGGAACTGAAATTTGTTCTTAAAATTCTTCTTTGAGAATTCGAATAATGCTTCTTGGCGCGAAGAGAGCGTGTGCTTTATTGTGGTGAAGATTATCGCTGGCTGTGGCAAAACTTTTTGTAGTGCTGGGTGTCGTTGCGAGGCAAGTGAAAACGCTGATCTGCTTTTTCTGCCAGTAATACCCTTGCACTTCGCGTGGAACATCTATGCCCCAATCTTCAGCAAACTCAGTGAAGGACTACTCACCTGGGATTTACAAGTGCCTTCATTTCCCATATGTTTTCCCTCTAATGTACTTGGTGTATTCATGAGTGGTGTACGTTTCCACGCAAAACCTTGCGAGTAGGAGCAAAACCCCGACACTGAGCGTTTTCTTCATCAAGTCTCCCGATTTTCAGATAGCCATTTCTATTTCCCCTTCAATATGAAGTTGTAAGGTAGTTGAACTTAAAATATTTACTCCAGGGTATACTTCACATTTCTAAAGCATGCAGGCGTCTGAAGGGCTGGTGCACAAGCACAGAGCAGTGATGACCTCTCTGGTGAAAATCCTGAACGAGGCGTTGTTGATGGGTGCTTTCACATGTTCAAAGTTCGAACAATATATGCAGACGCACTGGTTCCTATAAGGAGCAATCTTTACCCACTTGGGGCACAACCTATAAACATTTCTGTTGGGCCGAGCTTGATGTCCGTGTGCAATTTCACCAGGAGAGACTATGACGCACCAATGGAGCGGGGAATATAGCGGTTCTCTACACACTGTTTTGTCCCCGATGTGTTCACAGTCACGACATCATTCTTGTTCCGACTTTAAATTGAGCAGCTCATCTCGTCTTCCAGTAAATAGTGGCATCCGTCATAATGTTAGATTCTTTGAGCTTGGGATGGCTGTAAGGGTCAGGGAGAGCCACGCTCCCTGGGTTGTTTTGAGCTTTCTTGCATGATTTGTCAATCAAATCTTCGTGGCCTCCAGAACAACTTATAATTTGTTCTTTGTTCATGTTATTTATTTATTAATTCATTCATTCGTTTGAATGAATTAGTGAGGAAACAAAGTAAACAACTGACACATCCCCTTGATTCACGTGCTCTTCTGAAGTACAGTTCGCACGTTTGCCTCCCTTTCAGCACACATCGTGGTCAAAGACGCCTCGAGAACCTATAGCCTGAGTTCTCACACATGAGGCGCGTCACTAATCTTCCACCAAATATTCTTTTTTTACCGCTTCTTTAACTTGACTTTGCTTTTTTCCCCCAGTATAAGCGAAATAATCTTTGCCGGAATTCAATTTACATTCTGAAAGGCAACTTTTCAGTGTTCACTGATGACACGCCCTCGTTAATTTCCATAACAATCTTTGATGTGACAACGTAGTGATCACTGGTGTCCGAGGGTCCAGCTTGTACACTATTTTTCCTTGTCGGCAACACGCGTAGGGGAATGCCTGAAACAGTTGCAGTACAACTAGTCAGTCTCCAGGAGGGAGACGGAGCAAGGATCCCCGATTTGCTTCCAGTATTTCAAAGTCAGGTCGGAGACACACCTGAAGCTCTTCTGTTGTCGGAACAGTTTCTTGTAATGGCGCTCAAAATCTGCACAAAAGACACGCTTCTCGCTGTAGATTGCCGCCATTACATTGTGGATTGGGGCTCTAGGAGTTGAAGAGCTTCCTGGGATACGTTCTGCATGCCGCGACAACAACCACTGGTCAACAAACCAAAATTTCAACGTCTTGTTTTCTTTTTTTTTTTTTGTCATTTCTGTTTTTTTGTACTGCGAAGTGCGATAGTGGAACCTCGCAGGGATAGCCGCACTTGAGTTAAGCCAGCTACTTACTGTTTCGGAAGAAGTCAGGAAAGCTTGGGAAGGGTGTTTCCTGCGTGCGTTTGGAACGCGTCGAAAAAAAAATATAATTAGCATCTTCAGTCTACAAACTCGACTGCCGTTTGCTCGATCTTATCACTCGACTCAGCTACCGCTTTCTTGTATCCTCTCCCCATACTCTTTTCTTTTTCTTACATTGACATTTTTGCAAAAGTTTAAAGGTCCTGAAACATTGAGGAAACACGGCGGCGACAGCAACTCATGTTCATCAACAGTGGGTCAACTTGTATCTCGGTCGCCCTGTTACCCAACAATTCTGTCACAACTAATTAAGATGAGCACCACACAAGTGACAGCAACAATGTTGCCTCGGGATGACAGCTTTCGGCAACAAAAACAGCAGCAACTTGTGTTAGATGACGCGTGTTGCCCAGATCGGTGGATGAGCAAATTTCGTTCCGTCGACGACAACACAGATAGCTTCGGTGGTAGAATTTTAAATCCTGGCCTAAAAAACGCTATGTAACAATAATTACGGCTGGCGTGCAGCTAAACTAATTTGATTAATGTCTTATGGGAAGCGATTGTCGAAATCGTCACAGCAACGGTCATGAACGCTCAGAATGTCGTTGGAATTAGATGTTAATGCAATTACGTACATGCAAAGGTACAAGCCAGCTGGACAATGATGACGAAAATAATCCCTGCAGAAGGGGAACATGGAGGACAAAGGAAGAACACAAATCTCCAAACAGAGCTATACCCACTTTCACCTCAAGAAACAAAAACCCTTTGCGCGTTGTTCATGCGGCGCGATATGTAGTTCTTACGAGATTTGGTGGTCGGGGGTAAAACCGACGCCTTTGGCGTTTGGAACGTGTACGTCTTGATAAAATAACATATATCTAATCTAAAATTCACCTACATATATCTGAATTACAAACATAAAGAGGGAAATTAGTAATGCTCCGCGTGGAGCCGGAGTTTTTTTACTACGGTTCTTGAGGTGAAAACGGGTATAGGTGACTGATGCGCTACCGGAAAATCCGCCTGATCCTGGTATCGAACCAAGGACCTCTCCATTTCCAATGGAGCGATCCACCAACTGAGCTAACCAGGAATGGACCTTTTCCGAGAAGCGTTCTGCGCACGCGCGAGCGCCCGATGCCAAGCGGTGGAAGTCGGCACGAAAAAATCGAGGAAATTCGGAATGAGGCTGTAAATCGACGAGTAGAACACGTAATTGCAGCATATATATAATTGTGTTACACAAAAAAAGAAAGTGGACGGAAAGAAAAACACGACGTTTGGGTGGACGCTACGGATTTCCTTCTTTAAAGTCGCGCTAGGCCTACCTCGTTGCATTGGGCACGCGACGCTGCTCAGAGAGCGTAGCAACTGGTAACGTAGCTCCCATTATTGATTGGTAGCGCAGGTCACTTCCTCGATTTTTTAGTTCGCGCAGCCACCGCCTGGTGCCGTCGGTATATGGAAAAGGTCCATTAGACGTTAGTAGAGCAAACGGGTTTTATTAGCTGCCACAGTCTAACACCAACAAGGGTCAACGGACTGAATTTTTAAGGTTATGATGATTGCGCAATTATATGCAACGGTGCAAGCGAGCTGAACAAAAATGGCGAAAATAATCCCTGGAGAAGGAGAACTAGGGGGACAAAGGACAAACACAAATCTCCAAACACAGCTAGGTGACTGGTGCGCGACCGAAAAAATCCGCCTGGTCCTGGTATTGAACCAGGGGCATTTCCATTTTCAATGGAGCGCTCTACCAACTGAGCTAACCAGGCGTTAGACGTCAGTAAAGCAAACGGGTTTTATCAGTTGCCGCCAGTCTAATACCAACAAGGGTGAACGGCCTGCATTTTGAAGGTTATGTGATAATGCAGTTAAATGCAAAGGTGCAGGCGAGCTGGACAAGAATGACTGAAAAAATTCGGTAAAGACACTTAAGATTGCTTAGATGTATGAATGCAAGAGCATTCCTACACGCACCGCATTCCTACAAGCAGCGCGCCACATCTTCCTTTTCACACTGCTCTCCGGCGGTGACATCCCGCTCCCACAAACCAGAGGCGCGGCAAACCTCGCCTGCTTTACGACGGCTTCATTGACGAGGCATCTTCGTTGCTGCACCTTTCTTTGTTTTATTTCTGAAGTGCGTCCGCTTTGCAGCCAATTAAAATTTATGTGCCATTTCGCTCAGCCAATGAGTATTTAGGTGCCGTTTTTCGCTGCTGCAGACATCAGATAACGCCGGCTTCACTCCATGGGACAGTTAATGCTTTCGCATTAATAATCCCTGGAGAAGGGGAACGATGGGTACAAAGAACTAGAACTGCCGATAGATCAGCTAACATTACTGCTAGATAAATAAAAATGGCATGCCTACGCATCCGTTCTTAAAATTTAAAAAATCATCCACTAAAGTGTGCAATTAAAAAATCGAAGCATGAAAGCGACCGCTTTGATCATGATTTTTTATGGTTTGAACTATAAACCGCCACCGCCAGACACCTTAAATGTTTTGAAATTTCCCATGACGCTTTGGGTAATGAAGTGATCACATAAGAGGTGGCAAAGGCAAATAGACAGCGTTGAAAATAATTCACTCCAACGATTGTTATGAACGCCGATAACTCCACGCTACAAAATACATATTGGGGTACTATCGGTGCTGACTAAATTTTACAGTAGAAATCGGTATTGCATGAAAGAGTGAACCGGACAGAACCGCTTCATATGGTAGCGTAAATCATGAACATTGTAGCGATCTCATCTTCCTCGGTTAGGTCCAGCTGCTTTATAAGCGATTGAAGGATATCTTGATAAAATAAAGAGAGAAAAATACTCTCCACTTGAGTTTTCTAATCTCAATCAGTGATCGATGTCGTCCCCGTAATAATTTGCGGCCCTTCGAACGCACTAGAACGTTGCAAAGTCACATGTCCAGTGATGCCGCGCCGCACACGAACGAAGGTAAACAATCAAGATGGCGGAGTGTTCCCCGTGTCGGCCCCGCCGTCTGCGCGGTGTGACAGGATGTTCTCCGGCTGTCGGAAAACAAATCGGTGAACACGATTGCCGGGCGACAGAAACATGTTTCCCGAAAGTTGCTGTTGCCTCAATGTGACGCTCTCGCCGAAAACATGTTTCCCTCACGCCGATAGACAGAGTTGTCCAACTGTTTACTCAATGGGACAGCGCCTTAAGCGGCATTCCCTCGAGACACCGGCAACATTGAGCGGCTGCTCTTATGGTGTCGGTTGTAATTCCCAGGGATAATCTCTTCCCAGACGGGAATTATCGCTGTGCGCCAAGGTGGTCGACAAACAGCGCCGTAACCAAACTCACAACGCTGGTATGTCGTATTCCAAATGATGGCGCCCTTGGTCGAATGACTATTGCAGTCTCAAGAAGGTACCAAACAAAACTAATAACTTTTTTTGGGGGGGAGGGCTGCCAAGTCTAAATTTTGACTGCATTTTATACTGAAATTATTTATGCGTGTTCACTGTCACAAACATTGTTCACTGCATAAAACATCGCGAACGATCATCGTCGAAAACACGACGTCAACAGGCGCTACTTGTTGCCTGTTTGGTGGTCCGGAAGTCCGAAGCTACGTTTTCAAGGTTAAATAACTGTGAAAATGGTAAGACAATATGGCCAAAATAAATGCGGGGTTCAAAAGCTAAAATAATTCCAAAACTTAGAACTATCACGAACCCATGGGGAGTGTTGTTTTATTTCATATTCAGAAGCTGAGAACTGCAAAGCAAAAGATTTCTCGAAGCAAAATGTGTGCGGGTTAAAAGAAATACTCCCGAAAAAGTAAACCGAGAAAGTAAAAAAAAAAAAAAAACATTAAAATGGCTTTTTTTTTTTTATAAGGTGCAAATGTTTATAATTCTCTTAATCCTCCCAAATGATACAAGTTATTTTTAATGTGAAAAAACCATAAATACATTAATTTTACATTAAGTAGACAACAATGATACGCACTCTATGTCGCGTTAATTTGATTGTGATACTTCCAAAACTCTAGTGCAAAAATATTAAAAGTTTAGGGCATCATTTTTCGTAGATGCTTGTTTCGACATTTCTTGTAAAATTCGTTGTTTTTGAGAAAAAAAATATATCTTAGAGCGCCACTGACGTAGGTAACACAGAGAGCATTCCGCCAAAAATTTGCATCTGTACCATAAATCTTTTCGGATAGTGATTTTCAAATATGGCACAAACGGCAATCGTGATTAAACCTTCCCAGCTCTTTTAGGACTTAATTTTTTTAAACGAAGTATGTGAGAGCATTTATATTTAAATCATTGCTTTATACCCTGTATCTACTATAACGCATAAATATATGATGAAAATTAAAAAATACAAATGTACCTCACTACCTGTATCCAAATTAAACCGCCCAGATATAAGAAAGAACGAGTGAAAACTGCATTGAAAGAAGGGCTCTCTCGCTATAACATTCATTCTTTATCGGGCAGCAGCATTACTATTTATAGTTTCCTGTTTCATGTCTCTGTACCTGTGTTACAAATTGTTTGTGTTCTGTCGTATGTTATGCTTAGAGTCTTGTGACATAACTATTGCGTATTGTCATCGTCAAGTATACCGTTCCCTTCACTTCACTTTAATACCTTAAAGTTTTCTGCCTCGTGTGAATACGCAGAGTTCCTATGCACTTTGATTAATGCCTTGTAAGTTTTCTGGGTCGCAATCATTTTTAATGTCATAATTGGCAACAAATAGAATTTCAAAATAATGTACACACCAAACCTTTTTTCTTTTTTACTCTAGTATACGTTTTGGTATTTAGATGCCTATTCATGTTTATTTGTTTCGTGTTTCCTTATTTATATTTACATGTTTATTATCCAGCCCTGGAGGCTGCGACAAATCCCAAAGCCGAAACGTTTGGAGACCTCTGTTTTAGAGAAGTGAGGGCAAATTAGTGGCTAAAGACTTGACAATTTGCAACCCAATACCCTACCCCCCCTCTTTTTTTCACAGTGAGAGAAAAATTGTGAGTGTGCGTGTGTGTGTGTTTGCGCGTGTGCGTGTGTATTAGGGGGGGGAGGGCCGTTGATCACTTATTTACCTCCTCGCTCACCTGCTTTCGACCCAACCCTTCCTATAGTAGTCGCTGACAGATTAAAGTTTCAGGGGGAGCCCCTCCCAACTCTTTCCACTTTAGCAGCGCAGATGCTGGAGAGGAGGACCTCTCCTCTTCTGCCTTCACTCAGCTAAAGTGGAAAGAAACGGAAGGAGCTTCCCCCAACTCTCAACCTGTTACCGACTATAACTAACAAAACCGTGACGCCGAATATATATATGTTTTGCGTCACTCAAACAACTTTAAGGGGAAGAAGCTTTGTTAGGCACCATGCCTTTATCCCTGCCACCTAAGCGGTAAACACGGGAAAAAAAGGAAGAAAAAGAATGCCCACGCGGGACACAGGTTGGACACGAGCGCCGCGTCAAAGTTCGGCTGAGACTCGAGTCCGATCAGTGAGAACACGAATCCCGGCATAACGCCGACTCAGCAATCGTGCGCCATCGGCGCTGTGCAAAGCTAGCTTCCTTCGTCTCTACTCGCTGTTCGAACGCGTTCGAAGAGTCAATAGAGACAAAGGCTGCTAGCTCCTTTGCGTATGCCCACTAATCATTCCAGACAGAGCTTAGCTCTCTGGCGTCCCCGCGTTCTCGTCTCATCCACTTCCTCAGTTTCAACCGATATAGGAGGTGTCACTCAACACACACACACACGTGTATAAACGCGCGCATCCGCACACACACACACACATTCACACACATGCGTCGCGAAGACAAGTCTTCAAAGTGTGAAGACTTGTGCCGTAAGAACAGACCTGTATAAGTCTGCTCTTTCAGCGCAAGAACATATCCTGCGGATGGTCGACGGGAAACAGGGGGCAAACAAGAACACGTTTTCATAATGTTGGGAACGCGGCGTGCCCGAGGTTCACACTACAGCGATCATCTGCTGCATCCAATGCCCTCATCCAGCATCCCGGTGACTCGTCGCGACGAAACAAGCACGGGACCTGGCTCGAACATCTCGACAGTTGTGAAATGAGTCGGAAAGATCGGCGCTTGCCCCTTGTGTATTTTTATGTGCCTTTCAATTGGTTGTTTTACATTAAAAAAAATTGTAGCCGAATGAAAATAATGGCCTAAAATTTAAAAAAAAGTAAATGTTAACGGCGCGCCGGAAAAAAGCTAGAACAAAATTAGGCGTTATAGCTTGAAACAGCATGAGGTCGGTGAGAAACAGAGACCTATAGACCACATGCTGGGTGTTGGGCATGACGCTCGTTTTATTATTATTTTCTGTTATACAATATGGTGGCAGAAACACTGCAGCTTTACCAGGTAGCGCATGCGGAGAGCCGGATATCGGACCGAAGCTCCCATTGTATACTCTCGGCGTTTCGGACATGCTACAAAGTTCACCATTGTCCTGTAGAACTGACCGATAAGGCCTTTACAAACAGTGACACCGCGTCTTGCTTCAGAGCGATGATATCCAAGCTGTTTTTCCTGCAGACTCCTTTCTTTGTTTGTAGAAAGGACATGCTCACATATGTCTGCAGTTATGAGTTTGGAGCCTCTGCAACTGTTTTGAAGATTTCATATGTTTAACGTTCGTACTATGGACCTTTTTGGAAAGCCCTCAAGCGGCGCGTGTGGGTCATTATGGGAAAACTGAGGGTCGCTACTCCGTTGTCTGCTGCTACCGCCGTATCGCCTGCGAGAACCACGTTGCCTACGTTCGCACTGGGTCCCTATGCTGCACCCTATGCTGCGCTGCGTTTCCAACATGAAGTGATAAACTCTTAATCCCATCACGTCTGTCCGCTGCCCTTTTTTGGATGGGCCATCGCTCTGGATGTACCACCGTTATTTTTTAATGGGCCATCGTCCGTGGGCCACGCGCCAAAAAGTCTACGGATCCAACGTGTTTTTTTTTAATTATTATTTAGGGAATTCATTGAGCTAGTTAGTACAATTTATTTTACTCCGCCAATAAAAAGACGCAGCTCGTCCCATCAACGTTCAAAGACCATTAACTCGTCAGGATGCATGAACGAATTAAGAATGGTGCTGCAATTCGGGCGGTAGCGTGCGCCACCTTATGCAAATGCTCGACTAGGCTAGAACTGGCTTGCTTGAAGAGCGTGACACCCTCACAGTTCCCATATTGCCCCGGAGCGCTCGCTGGTGGCGCTGGCGTTTCCAAAAGGGGTCCATTGGATGTGGCTTGATCGTATCCACGTTATGAAATAAGTCGGAGAAATTCACTTTAGCAAACGTAAGAGATCACCAAGCGAGCATTTTAGTATAGATGGTTCTGCCTCGTGAAATATGAAAGCGTAACTTCACCTGCAGGACAATCAAGAGCGAAGTCCATACATTTTGAACAGCGGGTTTAGCCGGCGGATTAACACATACGACGAACTGTTTCGTCACAAGGATTATTTAAAGACGGTATACTCATTCCGGCTTTAAGTAACTAATATGCATGGCGACCCACGGCACCGTTCTGTTCGGAACCAAAGAATTTTTTTTTACAAATGCCGAGGACACCTAAGCACTTCTTATGAGTTGTGAATACTGCAGACGAAGGATTTCTTGCGGCAGCATTCTCGGCGCCGAGAGGAGCAGAAACGACAGCAGCGCCGGCAGAGAGTGCGGCGGTGTGCCTCGAAGACCGCCCGCCGTGCATTACGAGATTTGACAACGATGGTGGATTTCGCCTACACGCAGCGCATCCTTACAAGCATCGCGACCCGTCTTCCTATCGCAGGCAGCGCTCTGGCGGTGAGATCAGATTCCCCCACTGCTCAGGCGCGGTGATACCCGCCGGCTTCATGACGGCTTCCGTGAGGAAGCATATGCGCTCCTGTGCTTTTCTTCGTCTTTGTTCCTGGTTAGCTTAGTTGGTAGAGCGCTCCACCTGAAATGGAGAGGTCCCGGGTTCGATACCCGGACCAGGCGGATTTTTTCGGTCGCGCACCAGTCATCTAGCTCTGTTTGGAGATTTGTGTTTGTCCTTTATCCCTCTTGTTCCCCTTCTCCGGGGATTATTTTCGTCATTTTTCTTCTTCGTCGTCTGTTTTTCGCGCTGTTTTCTACGATAAATTCCCACCAACGCGTCCAACTATCAATTCTTATATGATAGCTGGAAAGGTTGCCGCCATCTACGAGCAAAATCAAGTCAAAAGCCAAAGTCAAATTTGGGGGTTTTTGCGTGCCAAACCTACGACGGGCATCTGGCACGCCCCAGCGGAGGACTGAGGATTAATTTCGACCACCTGGGGATCTTTTGACGTGCAACCGAAAGCTCGGTTACACGGCGCCTTTTCCGCAATAAGCCTCCGTCATATTGCGGGCACCTCGGTCGGGATTCGAACCCGCCACCTGGGGATCCGTAGGCCGGCGCTCTCGCCTCGGAGCCACCGAGGCGGCTACCCCCCATCTACGAGCGACGGCGGAAACCATACTGGTTGTGTGCTTGCCGCCGTCGCTTATGGATGGCGGTAGCTGTCCAGGCAGGTTTGTGTCGACATACACGGACACGATCCTGGAAAACCTAGCCCTTAACAGCTCCGCTCTAAAAAATTCGAGGCTTCAATTTACGTTGTGGAGGAGGTTGGCCAGCGAAGCTGTGGTATCACCCGCAACAAACAAACTCACTACCGCCTCCAATCAGCGAACCCCTGCGTGCTTCAGGTTTTCAACTTGTCTTTTTGTCTCGCATTCATTTGTTATTTGTACTATTTTATGCAATGCTTGCAGAGAGTCTTACAAACGTATAACAGGTACTTCTCTGAAGATCTCCTACCCAATCACTGTGCGTTGCTTAAGAACATAAATACACCACCGGAAGTCTACTGGGGCACCAAATACTGTGGAGCCCTCGTAGTATCCCATCGGATGCGGTGAAATACAAATGATTGACGAAGGGAAAGTAAATGCACTGTACCAATACTTTTTAAATATGAAAGGCTAGTGACGTCACTCCCATGTCGGAAGCTGCCGTCGCCGCGTCAGCTTGCGCAACAACCGGGAAACGTGTGCGGTGAGCGCTACGTGCTTCGCGTTGTTATCGGGAGCGCCTAATCCTCAATTATGTGGTTCGGATGCTTATTTTGTGCTTGTTTTTTATTGAAACGAATGTTCTGCTGTATGTTGTATGCGTGATATGCACCTTTGGCTTCAACCACTAAATGTTTTTTTTTTTTTTTTTTTTTTTTGTGAGGACGACGACACGAATAAATTTCAGATATCTGACCTCTGAGTCATATACAGCTTCGCTGTAATAAAAACTTTCTTCTGTCGCATTGACTTCGGCGTGCCTTACTGCCATGCGCGATCGCCGTATGCTACAAATTTCCAAAAGAAATACCATATCATATGGGACGCGCTCATCAATGGTGACGTTCAAAAAACGATTGCCCGAAGGACAAATTTTCAATTGCTTTTTCAACGTACTCTGAAGCACATCCCCCGCCCCGCCCCCCCCCCCCCCCCCCTCAAAAAAACAAAAAAAAACGCCTTAGCAAAAAAACACAGCGCCCCACACGACGAAGACGCTGCTACCGCACATGCACAGTATCTTCGTTGCAGAGAGCTTAGCGGAGAAGGAAAAAACGGACTACGAAAACTCCCTATTAGAAGATTCTTCCGATGATTTGATTCTGATAACGATAGGAAGTTTTCGTAGAATCTATCCGCTGCGTTGTCCGCAACCCGCAACAAGATCCGTTACTCTGCAGGCAAGGCTAGCGCCGCGCATGCGCTGTAGTGGCTCCTTCGTTCCGGAGATGGTTGCGGAGGTGGAAAGACGGTGTACAAAATCCTTAATAGGGAGTTTTCGTAGATCGTTCTCGCCGTCCCGCAACGCTCCCGCAACCCGCTACGATACCCGTAACTCTACAGCGAAGGCCATCGGCGCGCAGGCGGTTCAGCGGCTTCTTCGTTGCGAAGGGTTTAGCGGAGGGGGAAACGCGATCTACGAAAACTCCCTATTCGCTCGAGCGATGTATAAGAGTTTTAGTAGGTCGTTCCGATACCTCCGATAACGATACCCGAGGATGGAAAGACGAAAGCGCAGGCGCGTCGGTGGAGTATCGGATACCCTCATCGGGGTCATCGAAGCGATCTACTCAAACTCCCTAATAACGTTATTGGGTAGCGTGATGGGGGTTATTAGAACAATCTGTCTAAAAGTCTCAAATATTGAGTTTTAGTGGATCGTTCCGACAACTCGGATATTGATGCCGTATACTCCGCCGGCGTATGTACGCGGGAATCGCATCGTTATCGGAGTTATCGGGACGATCTACTAAAACTATCTAATAACGCGGGGAAAAGATTGCAAGCGAGATAAAACCAGGGCGCGCATTGAAGGGCCGTATCTTCGCAGACAGCGTAGGTGAAGGACGCACACGTGAGCGTATATCTGCGCCGCGAAAAATATGCAACCAAAATCAAGCGGGAGACACCTGCGCAGCTGAGCAGGCTATACGATGAGAGCTCGCTATACGTTCCGGGGTCTCGCAGCTGTTCGCGTTTCCTAGCCGGTGCTCGTCTGGCGCTGCTGCCGGCTCTGGCTGCTACTGCTGCTGCTGCTGCTACTTGGAAATCCTGAGCTTAGAAGACCTCCTCCGCACTTTGGAGGCGCGCGCTGAATTACAGCCGGCAATCTCGCCATCAGCGGCCGTCCGTTTGCGTCGTCTATATTCGCTCGTGTGATTCTGAATTTGTTTTGAGCCTCATCGAGACGCCCCAGAAAAGGAGTAAGCATTCCGTTTAAACATTTGCTTCAGTATATACATTTTTTTTGGAGGTAGAAGAACTTCCGTTTTACTGGGAAGCTGGTAAGGCTTCTTTTGGTTTTGGTTTGTTGTTTCGTTTCGCTTTCTATAGAGATGTCCGTATGAACAGGACCTCTTCGAATCAAATAGTGACGGGAGGGAACTACCATCTACACGGAATGTTTTTGTTTATTTATTACAGCAATTGAACCTAGCGGTGTGAATTAAGCGGCTTCCAATTTGGAAGAAAGCTCTCCTTGGAGACGTGAAGTATACTTTTGTTGACAACCTTTTTATAGCTCCAACGTGTACGAATGACACCAAGTGGTAAAGAACGAGAATTACTAGAGGCGCCGCCGCATACTGTGAAAGTATTTAGAAATACCTATACAGTACAATGCTTTTCTCTCTTGAGCCAGCAGTGGTAACTGTTCGTTGGCCTGATAGGACGCTTGCGAAATTATGAGCAGTTGCGAAGCTTGCAAACTATGTCGGGGAAGGCATGCACTGTGAAGGTGTATGGAAATGATAACAGCGCTAAGGAGACGACGGACAAGCAAGCGAGGTTAGCCTTCTTTTAGCTAATTCCTTGTTTTCTTAAAAACGTTATTCTAACTAGCCTGTAGTGCTCACTACTACCGAACTTCCCGAAATTCAATTTCGACTGCTAACACTACCACGTATGGACATCACGAAAATGAGTTATTTTCCACGGCGTCGAAATGCTGCACTTTGAGTGTTAGACAGGCGTGCGTGTGCGCTTTTTTGCATTCTTTACTTGTGTTCGAGGCCCTATTTTCGCGAAGGCTCGGTATGTCGAACATCTGTTGTCAGTTCAGCAGGTGGAAAGCGCGTATACACTGTTATCGCGAATAAGCGATTGTCGGTTCCTTCTGTTTCGCCTTTTAAGGTTAAAAGCTTGCCACATAATCGACTATAGGGTGGCGCAAAGTTTCCTTTAGGGAAGTAACCTATAGCGGGAAACTTTTGTGCGTGTCAACACACTTCCTGAGTAGAACGCAGAAAAGTGCCGATGTCGTATTCGCGCAAACGGTGTCGCGCAGTCCACTATTAACGTTACAATGCACCCTCTGATTCATCGACCATACAAAATATTGGGACGATCAGATTTTTATGTATCGGAAAAAAGTCGACTTTAGATCGATAATGTACGCTGGTAATATAGCTCATTACCTTCTAGATACGTTATAGACAAACGGACGATTGTGTTCATGTATCCCTTTCAGTCGTTCACTGTTACTGTACGTAACAGGGTTTCATAGACGGAGCATGTATATTCTTCGAAATAGAGCCGACTAAATTGCAGGCATGCCAGAGCTGTCTTTTTCAATGACGAGAGTTGTGCGGTTGCCTGTCCCAGATTTGAAGTGATTACGACACCGTCGCTCACCTTTTAAGAAACGCGAAGGGCGCGGCTAGACCAGAGCATCTATTATCGCTCCTCAACCAATTTAATTGCGGCATTAGCAGATAAGAGCGCCGAAGAACAAATTACAATCAGGCAAAAGCTTGGAACACAAAAAAACACACCCTGCGGTTTTTTTTCTTCTTTTTTTTTTTTTTCAAACTGTTAGTGAGGTTTTATTTACGTGTGGAAGTAGATGAAGTTCAGGGGTTTTTGTGTGTCTGGGCCTGTGTTACACCAATTTCCCCACATTTCAAGTTTTTTTTTTTTTTTTTTTTTTACAAATTCGCATATGTAAATAGTGCATCGACACTTGTTTAAATTACCTTCGAAAATTATCCGTAACTTATACCCCCGTCAGACTGGCAAATTTAGTGCACTACAACCTAGTGCACTTCAACTCACCGAATGTCACTTCAAGTGTCCGTGCCACACGGGAGAAATTACTGTCACTTAAAAATGATGACAATAACGATGGGCAAAGTACTATTAGACACCTAAATGTTAATGTAAAGGCATAAATGTCTCATCAATATTTATATTTTTTTTATCAAAGACGCGTTACAAGACCAGGTTACGTTAATTGACAATATTTACGACAAATGGGTGATTCTGATCGATCCCCACAAGGCAAGATAAAGAAAAGAAGACAAAAAACAAGAAGCAAACTCACTAGGTTAAAGGGGCACTGACACCCCAAAGGTCGTATTTATTTTTATTGTCTAAAACGATGCAAGTTGTAGTCATAGACACGCAAAAAAAAAAACCGCATCGCGAAAAAAAATTTTCCCGCGCGCGCGCGCGCCTTTTTATTTTTGGCGTTTGATTTTCCCGCCTCTCGCCTCCTCGCTTCTTTTGATCGGTGACGTCAAAAATCAGGAAATTTAGAAGCTTTGTAGGCGACATCTCTATAACATTTAATTACGGCAATCTTAAAACATGTTTTTTAACGCAATTGCGAACGCACTACGGCCCTTCTTTTTGAAATACCAAAAATCGGGAGTTCGTTGTGGTGCCGTCTCCTGGATTTGTATCCTCCAACGGAAAACAGGCGACACCGCTCAAAACCGGTCCGCCGCAACGCCGGCGCTAGCCGGCGCTCGCTCCTATCCTCCTCGCTTTGGGTCGCCATGGCAACAGCAGGGAGTGGTGACAGGAAAGTGGACTCTCAGGTCTCCTCAATTTTTGACGTCAAGGCACCGGCGCCGATCGCGCGGGAACTTCGAATTCGGCATTTGGAAATTGTTTTTTTACTTCACGAATACTGAATTCCCAAATCTCACATTTTGAGGGTAATGTCCCGGCATCGTTTTCAATCGTTTCGGATAATAAAAAAAAAATATGATTTTGATGTGTCAGTGCCCCTTTAAGTTTAAATTGGAAGCTCCTCGCGCCTGTTTCCACTTTAGCAAAGCGAATGCGGGAGAGGAGGTAGCTCCCTCTCCAGCGTTTGCTCTGCTGAAGTGAAAAGGGGTCGGACGAGCTTCCAATTTACTCTTCAGATGTTACCGACTATAGAACAACTGAGTTGGGAAACTGCCATAGAGCCTGCTTTGAAGAAGTGGCTTTGATCCGTACTAGAGAACCGAACTAATGGCGATCGAAACGCCACCATTTCTCCCACAGCGGCCACTCCGGGAAGCGCAGGACTGCACGTATCGGTTCAGGTTGGGTCGCGTAAGGGCCTGTGCCGCCATCTCGCACTGCCATTTCGCAGTAGCAATATAAAGTAACTTCATAATGTTTTGACTGGTCGCTAAAGGGTAGCGCTCTTATAGTATTTAGTTTGGTCTCGGTGGACGCGGGCGGTCCGGGGTTCCAAGGGTCAGTTTCCCAACTGAGTGTTTTAGTAAAGTTGCTTGACGCCGAGTGTGTTCTTCAGGAAGCAGCCGTGTGGCACACTACACAAATGACACAAAAGGCGAAGAGCACTCCGTTGAAGAGCGCTAAATTAGCCCGTTTGACCGGGGTATTAGCAGGGTGTCGAATCGAAATGTTTTTCGTTCCGGTTTTCGTTCCGGTTCAGGGAAAACGGTTCAGCTCCAGTTCAAGTCCGGAGTGAAAAAAAAAGGTTCAAACCGATTTGGACCGGTCCATACTCATATGCTACAAAAACAATTGACGGCAGCAAGAGATAAACTATGCATATTTTATAAAAGTGTTACATATAAAAAGCAAAGGCTCACATCACTGAGAGGAACGAACGAGCTAGTACTAGGGGCACCTCGGGACGTGGGTGAAAGCGCAGTTCAATGTCATGCAGCTGACCGAAGAAGCAGGACGTCGTCAAGCATATCCGGGGAAAGACGGCACCTCTGAGACGATAAAATAAACCTCAGTGCATAAAAAGCTCGCTCCACGCTCACCTGGGTCGCAGGCACTCCCAGGGCTACTTGCGCCAATGCGTAGAGTTCTGGATGGCGTTCTCTTCTCTCCGCCCAATACTGCAACACGCTAGAGTCCATTGAAAGTCGCGGCTCCTTGTCTAGCATCTCCAGGAGGCATGCTATGTCAAGTGGGCTACTGGTACCTCGAATGTGCACGCCAGCCTCAACTTCTATTATCCTTGAGGAGCGTTTGCAGGGCGTCTTCCGAATCATCTGGAGCCGCCGCACTTTCAGACGAAAAGGTCGAATCTTGCTCGCATTGCAGAGCTGTGATTCGCCTCCAAGTCCTTGTCAAATGTAACGTGGCCCGGTACTTTTGCTCAGGGGTGAGAAGAACGCAGTAGCGAGGATTCATGTACACTGCTGCACAGAAGACATCTGTGTCAAGAAGTTGTAGCTTCCTGTTTTTCATTGACTGGACCAAGGTATTTGCTAACGGCGACGATATCTTGGAAGTGTCCATGGAACATCTAAGCCATGCTCAGTAGAAATCTCCTACGGTGAGCTGTTCCTTCTGCAATGTCTTCGTCACCACTTCTGACGGGCGAGGCGATACTGCGAGCATTTCGACTTCCGCCCATACGCCTTCAGTCAACCTGGAGATTTCTTATTTTGAGAGGAACCCTCCAGCGAAGACTCTTAGTTCAAGTAGCCTGGTGAGCATATGCTGCGTGGACATCAACCGCGTTGGACAATCAAGCACTGGTTTGTTCAACCCTAGCTTCAGCCCGAACCAGCCGAATTGCCAAGCCGAGGGCCTAGCAGAAAAGCAAATGAGAAAGAACATTGGCACAAAGCTCCACGCTAAGGTGGACTGCAGCGGACGCTAGCAGCTCGCCTAGCATATCCATTGCTAAGAGCCTATATTCCCGTCTGAGCAGCGACGCGCGGATACCGAAGTCTCCTTGTACGATCAGAACGCTGAATTTCAAGGATGGCTCGTAGGAATGGCCGCGGTCCATTTTAGGTTGAAGCTCAGCATAAGCAACGAGATTCGTCGCGTCTCTGAACGCGCCTGAGTCAAGACAGAGTATAACGGCAACTCGCGAGGCGCGTCGGCCGCCCGCCGTTAGTTGGAAAGCACACACACACACACACACACACACACACACACACTCACACTCACACTCACACACACGCACACGCACACGCACGCACGCGCGCACACA